ATCGCTCGCAGACAACAATACGAATATGGTATTTTTAGGAAATAAAAATATATAGAGGGTTTTATACACGAGAATATTTGATTTAAACGAAACAAAGAAATTCCTAAAATTCTCAAACTAAAAATTGTTGGAAACATAATTAGACCGATAATTGGGAAAATCTTAAAATTACAACAGAACAAGACTTCAAAATAAAAACATGATTGCAAATAAACATACTTACATTAACATAACTTCAAATATTTGCTGTCTTTTTCACCAAACAAACTTACATTAAATTATGAAAAAACTAAATGCTCATCTACTTTTTGCTATATACAAAAGTTGTCTGTCAATGTTTACTTCGTTAAATATAAATAACAAAGATCAAACATATGGATCGGAGTACACAACATATTTAGGGAATAAATAGTTAAATGGGAATTACAAATAAAACATATTCAAACTTTATTTGTTGTATATCGCAATATTTAGTGACAATTTTGTGACTTAATCAGGAGAAAACTGTTAATTTATTAAGATGAGCCAATAATTTGACCAATAATTTAAAGGTAAATGCTCCAAATATACATGTCTACTTCAAGAAGTTAAAGGTTACGGAGTACCAAGCAAGCTTTAAAGTTTCGTATCCATTAGATTATAAAAATGAAGTTCTCAATACCAGTATCTGGCCTGAAGGTTCAATGGTTCGTCGTTTTGACTTCAAGTATAAGAATTGTACTAACCGCCGTTAACAACAAAACCAGAAATAATTGTTACAAATCCGGCTTGTATTATTGTATTATCAATGCCAACATCAGAATAAACAAAAAAGTATTTTCGTCTATGGTTCCATTAATACGATTTTCACCATTACTTTGCGTTGTGCGATGTATTTGCAACCTTTTGTAAATTAAAAATAATTACACCATTTAGAATGTCAACAAAAGCCGGCTCTGCATGTAATTATTTTTTCAGTGCAGTATTTCATATTTATTGAAAGTCAACATAAATGCTCAATTGTATTTAAGAATTTATATTGTGTGATATGCCCACTGACTATTAGTAAATTGGTCGCGTTCCTGTCATTTTCACTCGTTGGCGGCTTGCCCACGCAAGATCAAAGGAGTGTCGCTTCTCTGCGTTCGTAGTTCTCTGCCACTACTCAATGATCAGTGCTGACTCAACTGTCAAGTGACGAGCGTGCGTCTTTTTTGGCTTGGTGATTGTAAATTAACTAAAATGAGCAAACAGATGAAACTTTCGTGTTTTTTAAGAAGACGGATAGTGAGAATGTTAAAGCAGGATGTTCTACTAGTATCTAATATTGCCAGTGATAGCACAATATTAACTAAAACTGGTCCTAAAAGAAAGGCTGCTAACCGTAAGTACAATCCTGACTACACAGCATGTGGATTTACATTCATTGAAGAATTTGGTGTCCAGTTATCTCAATGTGTAATTTGTGCGGAGGTATTAAGTAATAAAGCAATGAAGCCGGCAAAATTAACTAGACACTTTGAAACAAAGCATAAAAATTTTGCCGGAAAACATGTAGATTTCTTTAAGAGGAAGGAGACGGAACTAAAATCGTCAAAAAATATCCCTAAGTCATACTCAACTTATGATAAAGCTACTTTAAAGGCGTCATATCAACTTTCACTTAGAATCGCAAAAACCAAAAAACCCTTTACTGTTGGTGAAGAATTAGTTTTACCATGTATCGTAGATGCAACTAAAGCAATTTTAGGTGATAAATACGCTAAACAAATGCAAAATATTCCTATTTCCAATGACACCGTTAGTAGAAGAATTGAAGAAATGGCATCAGATGTTGAAACCAAACTTCTAAAGAAAATTCATTCCTCAAAGATTTTTGATGTACAACTTGATGAATCTACAGATATTACCAATAAAGCTATTCTTCTTGTTTATATACGATTCATAGATAAAGACAACAAAAAATTATCTGAGGAGTTCCTGACCTCGAATGAGTTGCAAGGTAACACAACCGGAAAAGACATTTTTAAAGCCATTGACGGATATTTCACAATTAAAAATCTTTCTTGGAAAGACTGTGTAGGACTTTGCTCTGATGGTGCCGCGGCAATGACAGGTCACAAAACAGGCTTGCCAAGTTTTGTAAGGAAAGAAGGAAACCGTGATATTGTTTTAACACACTGTATTATTCATCGCGAAATGCTTGCTGCCAAAAGATTAAGTCCCGACCTAAACAAGGTTTTGACTACTGTGGTAAAGGCCGTGAACTTTATAAAAAGTAATGCTCTTAGTTCGAGATTGTTTGCTTTGTTATGAGAGGACATGGGATGCATCCATTTCAATCTCCTTCTACATACCAAAGTTAGGTCGCTGTCCAGGGGCCGGGTTTTAGCCAGATTTTATGAACTTCGAGAAGAAGTATGTATATATCTTGATGAAAAAAAAACCTGATTTAACGAAAACACTACGTGACGGAGAATTTATGGCCTAGTTAGCTTTTTTAGCAGATATTTTTGAACAGCTCAACATATTGAATCTAGGCCTGCAGGGACCATCTAAAACCGCATTTGACCTTTGGAAAAAAATTGATTCATTTAAGAAAAAATTGTTGCTATGGGAGTCCGAAGCTGGAAAAAGATCGTTTGAAATGTTCAACTTGTTTTCAGATTTTATCTCTGAAAATAAAGGCTTAAATGAGGATGTTTTACATTCACTGGTTAAGTCCTACATTAAGTCGCTTCAAGATTACTTTGAAAAGTACTTCCCTGCTGATACAGATGTGAGGAAAAATAATCTGTGGGTGATTGATCTCTTTTTAGCTACCCACAATAATAATCTGTCTATTCAGGAAAATGAACAGCTTATTGAAATTTCATCCGATGATCATTTAAAAGTGATAAAATCTCACTGCGAAAATGTTGCAGATTTTTGGATAGGATTACTTGATGAAAGTTCACTGCTAAGTAAAAAAGCTTTGGAACTTCTTCCTTTTCATTCCACTTATCTCTGTGAGGCATCATTCTCAACATTATATGTCATTAAGAATAAACACAGAAATAGGTTTCTAAATTTAAATGCTCCTATGAGACTGGCGGTAACTTCTTTCGATCCAAATATTGAGAAACTTTCAAGTGAGAAGCAAGACCAAGGAAGTCATTAACGTCTTAATTTGGCGCTATCTATGACTTTTTATTTTGTTTTTTATATACCTTTTGTCTTTCACTATGTATTTTCTTTTTTTATTTTGTAAATAATAAATTCATTAGTAAAATTTTAGTGTTCATTTTATTTTACCTATTATTAGGAAATATTAATAATAATATTTAAGTGGTCCGCCAAGAGTTCTGAAAGGTACAAGTGGTCCTCAGTGATGAAAAGGTTGAGAACCACTGATCTATGGATTTAATAATTTGGTTATACATCAGCTTTTAACTTTATAAAACCCTGAAAACTCTTTAGTTTGTAGAAATATCTCCCAAAAATTCAAATACTTTCGGTAGATACGGTAGATACTTTCGGTAATAGTCTGAAAGAAAGCTAATTATAGAAAGGAAGGTTAATAAGACCATAATAAAGCATTTATTATTGATGTGAAACACGAAATAATCAAATTTACGTGGCCAAAGTTAAACAATTAAAGAAAGAGATGAAGATTGCGAAGAACGACTTACACAAATCGTTTGAAAAATAATCCGTAACACAATGAAAATACCAAATTCAAAATATACAAGACCCTGATAAAACCGGTCCTTGTATATGGATCAGAGACGTGGACACTGTCGAAAAGCGATGAGAACCTATTAGCTTCATTTGAACCAAAAATCCTTAGACACATATATACGGGGGTAAAGGAAAATGATATATGGCGCCGAAGATATAACTTTCAATTATACAAAGCATACAATGAACCCGAGATCATAACATCCATAAAGATCGGACGTCTGCGCTGGATGGGCTATGTTGAACGGATGTTGGAGACTGAAACGCCAAAACATATAATAAGGTAAACACCAGTAGGGAAAAGGTCAAACGGAAGACCCAAACTTAGATACATGGAACAAGTGGAACAAGATCTGAAAACACTTAAGATTACCAACTGGAAAAACAAAGCAAAGAACAGAACAGAATGGCGGAAAATCCTAGAACAAGCCAGGATCCAGAAAGGATTGTCGAGCTACTAATAATGACGATGAACACAATGCTAATGAAATATTGACCAAGATGACCACAAATAAGCTGCCTTCGTTGTACTTGCAAGAAAAAAATATAATACGGCAATCTTTCATCTTTAAGAAAAAACGTAACCCCTGATGTTGGAGACCATCATGCTTATATTTCTATATTTTCTCGACCTTGGGCTACGTGTTGCAATTGGTCTACTGTTCGGCCTATTAATTTTTTTCCTTTAATATTACTGCTGAGAATTAGTCAAAGTATCTCATTTCTTGGTCATCTAATTATATGTCCAAGACATTCTAGTTTACCTCTCTTAATGATATGTACTAGAGTTCGTTGATGTTCTTTTCTGCAAAGAACTTCTAAGTCCAGATGACAATCAACCCCAAAATATTAATTGCTGAGATATTCGAACCAGGAGACTATATTCCGGAATTTCTTTTCCAGGCTTTGTTTTTCTTCCTAGTTGTATGTATTAGAAATTTTACTTGAGATTCTTTGTATTTAATTTGTCATATATTACATTAATTGCACTAATTACATAATTAAACACAATTAAAACGCTAAGAGCATAAAAAATATTTCAAATAGTTAAATATTCATTGTAATTTTGAGGTAGATAATTCTTCATACAACACCTGAAAAGCTAAAAATGCTAGCCAAAATTGTTTGCATCCTTTGAAGTGGTACCACTCCAATCCATCAATTTGAATATAATTGTATATTAGGTAATCATGATTACGACTCAACGCAAGTGAAGTTTGTTATCACAAAGTCAAGTCGATAGGTTTTTTCGTATAAATACAAGATTTGTCTAAATTGGTCCACTTTCAGTTTTTAAACAACTAATAGCAACAATGTTCACCACTAAAGTCGTCTTGCTCTTGGGCTTGGCCTTTTTCGTCTCAGCTGGTAAGTTTACAAAATATTTTGATTTGAAATATTACGGCTATATGATTCGGCTATATGATACAATGCGGCCTATTGATTCGTATGTTTAACCAAAATTCATTACCCTGCAATACTCATTCCAGATCTAAAATTATATTCAGATCAGATAAAATGGGCATTATATCTTCTATTCACTGAACGCAGTCCCAACTCTAGTAAATGTATTATTGAATTTTGTGCTATGTTGGTCAAATTTTAACCTCGACTGGAAGTGGTTGGAAGTTAATATAAGACTTAAGCGACAGAAATTGTAACTTAAAAGTAAAAAGGTAATCACATGTATCAATTAAAACAAAAGTTTTAAATTTCTGTTTTTTAAAATTTTGTGGTCGTTTAAAGATAAATATTTACAACTAAAAAGTTTTATTAAAAATGAAGCTTGTTTAACGAGCAGGAAGCTTGTTATACCAGAACACAGAATCTAATGGTTGCCCGTAACCTGCCCGTGACAAAGTATAGACTTATTAATTAAAGTAGGTTATTTTTACTAATTGGAAGCACTACATTTTTTCTGCATTTAAGGACAATAACCACTGGGAACAGCAAGTTCGAATAGAGTCCAAGTTCACTTGGAGGGTTAGCTGGTTTGGATTGACATATAGTTTTTTGTCATTAGCATAGAACGATATTTAACTTAAAGCATAATAAGCAACACCGCTGGTATAAAAAAACCGTAAACAGCAGAAGTCCAAGGGCAGAACCCTGAGGCACTTCATTTCCACTAAGCTGTCTTGTTTCTTGAATTGTTGTGAATCTTGACAGATTCGCCAACTCTATAATGTCGAAACTTTATAATGTCGATCTGTCTGGAAAACATCGATCCAATGAAGTATCATACGGTAAACTCCGAAATGTTTTTGCTTATGTAGAAGTCTGCGCTTAGGTACACGGTGAAAGGCTTTGGAGAAATCTAGATAAACAGCGTTGACCGACTGCCAACTGTTAAGATATGACGTTCAGTCGTTAACACAAAGTAGGAGATTGGTTAGAGTAGAGCGACCAGAGACAAATCCATGTTGTTGTGTTGGAATAACATGTTCCTGAAGAGAGAATTTGGTCCTTTGGTCATCTCCTCGGAAATAGTGGCTTCCATGACTTTGGGGTCGAGTTTGTTTTCTTCTAAAAAAAGGGCAAAATGTAGACTTATTTTAACCATAGATTAAGAACAAGTCTATTTTTTAGTTCCGTATGTCGGGGATCTCTGCAAGTTTGCTTAATATTTCACGGACTATTTTAACGCCCAAGTTTCTATAAGTGTTTTTATTTTTATTACGCCAACGAGCAATTACAATGCCTCTAAGTACTTATACTGATTCATAATATGTCCCGTAAGTTGAATATCGTTAGTCAACATTAACTTAAAGTCTATGTAGTCAAATTTAAATTCGTTTTTTTTTATTTATTTTTATTGCGCCAATCTGTTACTTATTTATTGGTTTTCCATTCTGTTAAATGTTGTTTCTACCCTATGTGTTACTTTTGTCCTCTTTCTAATGACATCTTAATATCGCTTCTATTGTTACCGTCATTTTGTCTTTATGCTTTTCTAAGTAAATACTTTATTTTCTAAAGAATTTACTTCTCTGATCAAAAAGCTTCTTTTAGTACGAACGACTGAGAACAAGAGAAAATATTTGTAGTAGCTTTATCTGTTTCAAGTAGCTTAAATTACTTCTACACAAAAACTTGAAATTATTACTACTACAATGCTACTACTTGATTCATAATAGTATTCTTTAATAGAATTGTAAAACTGAAGCGGAATCTGCATTTGAAAGGTTGAAGTTTGTAATGTACTAAAAGAAACCTTTCGGCCTTTATAAAGGACGGTAGGTTTAAATGGATTTTAATTCGTGTTGTATACGGATTTTACTTACTTCTTTGAGTTTCTATTAGAATATATTAAATTCTTTCTTTCTAATCGTTATAGCCAACCTTCATTAGAGAAGTCGGCACCAGAAGTAGATATAATTTCATTGTCTGTTAATAATTTTCGGTTAATATTGTCATATTCACTAAAAAAAGATGTAATGTTTGTAAGTAGGTATATTTAAAAAACTATTAAAAGGGCTACATCAAATTAACAAACGTTTTCAGACTAAAAATTCCATCATCAAGGTCAGTTAACCTGATGATGGAATTATTATTCCGAAACGTTTGTTAATTTGATGTAGCCCTTTTAAGGGTTTTTAAAATATACCTACTTACAAAGATCTAACCTCTTTTTTGATTGACGTTTTGATTTTAATTTCTCAAAATTCAGGAAAGTTTATCTAAAGTGGAAATCTAAACGTTAACAGAAATTGTAATTAATTTCCATTAAAGATAGTAAAAAACTTTTAAAAATTTCTTGGAACATATAACTTCATAACGTATGTGCTAGCAGTTCAAAATGAGTTTTACATCGAACCAAACAAAATTGTAATAAAATAAATTAAATTATAGGAAAAGATCTTGACACTGGCTACGAAATTTTGAGATGCGCCAACAAAGCAATGAGAGTAGGAGTACCTGAATTGGGAGTTCCACCACACGATCCCTTCGTCGCTATCAGAAACGTATCATGGACTGGAGACATTGGTGTTGCAAGGTAAGAGAAATTTTTATTTATCTTGTGTATTTGCTATCTTATGCTTTATTTTATTGAGCGCTTTTTCAGCTCTTTGATGAATATTATCAATAAAATGTAAAAAATTTATTAGGTGAGATATAAGATTACTTCATTCTCACGTCGATAAGAACTTATAAGTTCCTTTAAATTTTCAGTTTTCCATTTTATTGTCTTTAATATATTGTGTGTTAATGGTAACTTTATTTATTTATTTATTTTGTCACCGCTTCAAATTCTTTGCACAGGGATGTTAGGAAAAAAACTCTTATACTCACAATCCGTGTTAAGTTCTTATATGTACTTAGAATAAAATAAGATATATGTACATGCGCAAATCAACACACACAAAATTTTAAACATGGATATAATGATAAATTGTCGTACTATGACTGAAAGTTGCACTTCTTAAACATTCTATGTCACTATTTAATATCTATAAAAGAGCTTGTCCTATGCGTTCCAAGTTTCCTCTCATAAACAATAAAATACATAACATATGATACGAGAAATATGACAGCCCTGTCAAATGCCAAATGCCTAATGCCAAAAAACAAAATGATAATGCCACATAAAAACCAGAAAACTTTTAATTTTAATTTTTATCATTTTTAAACTCTAAATTTTATAGATATACACTGTGTGCTAGTCAAATGGAATAAATTAGCTAATAAATAAATCAGAATATTTGAAAAAACGATCAAACACGTTGATTAGTATTTATAGTTAAGCACTTTTTTCCATAAAAACTTTTTATACGGGTTGTATCAGATAACGGTGTCCAATACAAACTTGCTTATTTTAAATAGAACACCCTGTATTAGTTAATTTTTAGATTATTCAGATCATTTTAAACATTTTTTAATACAATATCCTATACCTATCTTTGACTGTTTCGAAAATATTAAGTGAAATGCAAAAATTCTCATTTAGAAAAGGAAATTATCAATTTGCCGAAAGCCGCTACGACATATTCCAATACTTCTTAATACTATAAATCTAAACAATAATATCAATGTAGGAGATGAACGAACGTCTTGGTAACACCCTAACCTTGAATAGAAATTTCTTCTGTTACTCAATATCTCAGATGTGATCGATCTAATTACAAGCGTTATTCGTCTTCGTAAGTCAGCTAAGTCAGTGGGTTTAGTTTTGTACACAAAACTTTTTACATATCTTCATAAGAAAAAGTTTAATAGCATCAAATCGGGGAATCGTGGTAGCCATTCACTCGATACTCGCACCCTTATCCACCGATTTGGAAATATTTGGTTGAGGTACTGCCAGACATGGATTTGATATTAGGGTGGTGCTCCATCTTGTTGAAACCATATCATATTCGCTGGAACTTGTAGGTTACATGGATCAGGATACAAGTTGGCCAACGTTAGCACTACATTATTTTGGAGCAATGCTAAATAATTATCGTCATTTAAACTGCCATCTACGAAAAAGAGACCTATGATCTGATCTTCAATAATTCCTGCTCACACGTTAACTTTCTCAGGGTATTAAGTATTGCCTTCACCCATCGAGTGAGGATTTTCCCTGGGACAATAGCGGCAATTTTGGCGATTGGCATGACCGTGAAGAGTAAAGGTGCACTCATAAGAAAACGTTGCCATCATTTGTTTATACAAATACGTTCTTTTGTCAAAATCATCTTCCATGAGCTTCTGACTATATATAATTTTATAGTGATGCATTTTGTTTTCTTGTAATATTCGAGTAGGCGATGAAAAAGAATATCGAGTACTGGGGCTTTTTCGAACAGATGTATGTGGGTATTCCTAAAACTTAAGCATAACAGCCAATTTTGTATCCTCACTTCTTGGCTGTTTTTTTTACCTTTCCAACATGGGCCAGCTCGTGGATCTGCTTCTCTAGTTTACTTATTGTCCCTTTAGACATGTGCGGCAAATCGGAAAATGCTTCGTGAAATAAACGAGTTACTTCCATTTGCATCCGTATCTTATCTCCATAGCCAATTATCTGTAAAATTGTAATTTTGTGAATTTCTGTTAAATGAACCATTTTTCAGGCTTGCGTTTAATGAAATTCAAACGACTATAGCACTGACAACTATATCTGTCATGGAACAATAAAACATTGTCGTTTTAAACCAAAGTAAACAATGTTTTGTTTTTTTTTTAACATCAATAAAAAGGACTGCTTTAAGCTACGGTTTGTTAGAACAGTGCGCAGCGCACAGCAGAATCTGTTGTACTTGACTCACGGCAGTTTTGGGTGTTAGATTATTTCGATTAAATATTCTGTCGCTCTGAAAACAAGTTTAGAAATTGGTTTCAAGTTTATTCTCTCAAAGATTGTACATTTAAAAAAATGAATTCTCGCAAACTTAATGCAATAATTTTATTACTCCAAAAAGAGGAGGAAGAAGAAGAGTTGATAACGTTAAATTTAAATAAAAGAAATAAAAATGTAAACGCAATTTTTTCATGTCTTAATACAGAAGGTGTTTTTAAATTAACAGTCGAAGAAAGATTGTTTCAAAACGAGGAAAAAATTTCGAGAATATTTTAGACTTTCCAGGGATTTATTTGGAACTGCAATTTGTACTAGATCCACTAGTCTTTTATCTTCATCGGGAGAAAATTTAGTAGACATCACTTAATTATTACAATATTAATAACTATATAAAAATACAATTAGAATTTTGGTATATTATGTGTATGTTGTGAGCTCAGCTGAACGTTTGCGTCCAAATCAAATCGCAGTTGATTCCAGCGCACACCGTCGACGTACACGGCTATCGGTTTGCAGTGCGCGTAGCTTAGCAGGGTATACCGACAAAAAGACGCGGAAAAAAGGACGCATAAAAAAGGACGCGGAAAAAAGGACGCGCGAAAAAAGGACGCGTGGAAAAAAGGACGCGTGGAAAAAAGGACGCATATTGTTAATGGAATACTATAAATAGTCTATTTTAATTGACAATAGCAATTACCTCCGTTTATCCCCTATATATAATTACAGAAAATGATTCTACCTAACCTAAAATCGGTTACGGTAAAAGTAAAAAGTGAAAAATATTTATATGAAAAAAACTAGCCTTCACACTTTATCTAGGCTTAGGACTGGCAGCAGAAGCTGGCGTGTTTACAAGTTTTTTTTTATTTTTTTTTTTAATTTTTTGCTTTTTTTGGTGAGGGCAAGTTTTTTTCATATAATTATTTTTCACTTTTTACTCTTACCGTAACCGATTTTAGGTTAGCTAGAATCATTTTCTGTAATAACATATGGGGATAAAAAGGGGGTAATGGCTAATGTCAATTAAAATAAACTATTTATAGTAATTCATTAATAATATCCGTCCTTTTTTCCACGCGTCCTTTTTTCGCGCGTCCTTTTTTCGCGCGTCCTTTTTTCGCGCGTCCTTTTTTCCGCGTCCTTTGGTCTCGCGTCCTGTTTTCCGCGTCCTTTTGTCGTAGATTCGCTTAGCAGAACCTAACAAACCGTTATCATAGAGAACCATTTCTTTGATTTTGACGAACTGAGTGTTTGACTGTGAGTTATGCGTCGCTCACTGTTCTAACAAACCATAGCTTTAATAGTTTTTGCTTACTTTATCGTTACCAAGGTAAATGGGCAAAAAGTATTGCGAGAGTGGTAGCGACTTTCAATAAATAAATAATCTTCTTTTCTAAATGTGAATTTTCTAAATTTTAATTAATATACAGGGTGTTCTATTTAAAATAAACAAGTTAGTATTGGCCACCGTTATCTGATACACCCCGTATAAAAAGTTTTTGTGGAAAAAAATGCGTAACTATAAATACTAATCGACATATTCGACAGTTTTTTTTAGAATACTCCTTCATTTATTTATTAGCTAATTTATTCCATTTGGCTGACACACAGTGTATGTGAGTGTTCATGTTAATGGTTTATTCTAAGAGAAATTAACCAGTTAAAAAAAAGCAATTATTTTGTGGAGTCCAAGTGTACAGTTCTTTGTGTGTTTTTTAATTTTTTATTGTTAAAAAATGAAAAAAAAAATAGAACAGAAATTTTCTGCTTTCCACACGATCTCTCATAGTAGGATACTTTATATTAGATCAGAGCTCCGAAGATGTCTTTGTAAAGCGCCGAAATTCAGTTAAAGCCAAAAAAGCGGCGATTCAATATACATATAATTCCCTATGTTCCCTATTCCCTATATAAAACAACTATGCAACATATACACCAGTTAACCTGACTGAAATCAGACTAAAACTAGTTCTTTTAAAACACACTTCACGTTATATAACTAACTGCTGTTGTAACAATTTTGTACTGTTTTTAGACTTTTATACTACTTTTGTGTCAATTGGTAGTATATAGTACTAAACCACCTTTTATATTTTTATATAATTGACTACTAACTAAGTCCTATATATTCTTAGTACCACTTAAAACAAATTCTTTTTAGTTGTATACCTATATCATCTATCATATTACTTACATATCATATATCATATTACTTACATATCATCTATTTCAGCCGTTAGTTTCTTGGAGGCTGACGATACTGTATAACTTGTAAACAGCAAAACCAGTCGCCCAATATTTGTCCTTAACAGAGACTGTAATTATAAGACCTTTTTCCCTAACATTCCTGAATATGTGCTGATAGCAGCGACCATTTCATCATTTTCTTAACACATGTCTTCTGTTAGATGGCCTTTAAATTGTTAAATTTGAGTTTGATTTTCATTTATTTATTCCTGTGCGGCTGAACTAAAATGAAGTACTTACTTATTCTCCCTCTCATTAAGATATAATATTGATATAATTTTCGTCATTACTGTTTCATTTACTTTTTTTTTATTTAGGGACTACATAAAACTTTTACCAAAAAAATTTTCTAGTTGTTTATTTGATTTAACTTCAAATTTCCATTGCATTCTTGTAAATTATATTTTCTTGCCATTTTTAGTACCCACATTGACCTCAATACCTTAAGATGGTATGGTCTTGCCGACTGGGATATCTCAGCCAAGCAAATTAGTGCTGACACTGACTTCGAGGCTGTCTTTGACTACACCACATATTGGCCCGTTTTTACAATCTCTGGAAACTACGCAGCTACAGTTAAAGAACTTTTCCTTACACAACACTACAAAGGAAACTTCAAGTAAGTATATTTAGATATAAGTCAATCATTGTAAAACGAATAAAAAAATAGGACAGCTGATCTCCCTAGAAATAAAATTAAAGAAACTAACAGTGACAATAGAGAAATTGTATATTTCAGAAGATTTAATGCTCGATAATTTTAAATAAAGTTTAGACACTTTAAAATAAATGTTACACAATTTGTTATATTTTGTATTATTTTTATTTATTTGTATAATTAAATTCATAGTCGATCGGATAGCCAAGCGAGCTGGGCGGCTGGCTTCTCCTTCGCTTCAATGCGAGAGATATCAGTTCAATACCCAGCTCGGTGTACAGAAAATAAAAAGGCTAACGCAGCAGTTTAAAATTCTTAATGAATCTGCGGCTTAGTCTAGAATATGCTGGTATCTGATCGGCCTATGGTGGAGCAGTACGGCAAGAGATAAGGGCTTGTGGTTAGGTGATACTCCTCCACAGATCCCTACCGGCAGGGCGTGTGCTGCCTAAATACTAATAAAGTAATAAAAAGGAGATAATACTGGGAGATACCCTTTTATAACTGAGGAAGCAAAATAAAACTAGAGTGCTTCGTTAGATGTGCTTTTTAATTAAAGGTCTAAGTGACCAATATATTGGTCAGACTGACCAAAGGTTAAGTAAAAGATTGGCCCTTCATAAAAGTGATTGCAGACTCAAACCACAATCTACAAGTCTTAGTATTCACGTCAATAGCAAAGACCACAGAGTCCTCTATAATGGCACATTCATCTTAGATGTATCTAATAGAGATTTTCAGCGTAAAATACTTGAGATGTGTTACATTTATAATGCGAAAAATTGCATCAATCACAAGAAGGATGTGGATAATTTAAATCCAATCTACACCTTCCTGCTTAAACAAAATATTTCAGGAATAAAAATATTGTCGCCTAGATATATGAGTGATATAGGTTAGATTTTTAACTACTTTAAGTTAAAAATATAAAAAAGAGAATACTATATCTCCATCATTATTATAAAAACATTCCTCATCTGTATTACTTTATTATATTTTCCATCATCCCTTTAAAGCCAATTTTAATTATTTTATTTTTTATGTTTTATATTTATTTCAGTATTCGTGTTAACATTTTAGATTATGTATGTCATTTTTACATTTCAAATTATCCCGCTATTTCAGTTTAGTGACACCGCCGTAAATTGTTAATTACTTTTAGATTGTTTTAAACTACTTGTAAATTTTTCAGTTGTTTGTGGTTAGATTTAAAGTAAATAGATCATTATTAATTAAATAAAAAAACACATTGTGAACTATGGATACCATTTCTTATGTATCTGAAACTATGTTTAATATATACATAGATAATACTTTCTTTGTGTTCCACCCAAGTCACTGAGTTGCTTGCTATAGTTAGGGTAAGTGTTTTATAAATTTGTATACTTAGTTTTCACTTGTTCATTGTTTGTTCTCTCGTTTGTAGTTTACTATGATGATGTCAATAATCATTGACGAAAGCTTAGACCTTTAATTAAAAAGCACATCTAACGAAGCACCCTAGTTTTATTTTGCTTCCTCAGTTATAATATATATATATATATATATATATATATATATATATATATATATATATATATATATATATATATATATATATATATTAAATTCATACCCAAACAATCCCATAGTTACTAAATGTAATATTATATTATTCTGATTATGAAATCTATTAGAAAATTAAATATTATTTTTAATTTTAATAAATTCCAATATAATTCACAAAACTAACAAAAAAATTTATTTAATGTTTTAATTCTTATGTCTGGAGAATATTGTAATAATATACGCCAAATTATCAATTAGGTTTTTTTATATTTCAGGGTACTAATTTGAGTCAAAAAAATGCTTGGGCCTTGAGCAGCTGAATTAAGATGTGAATTAAGATGAACACATGTGTTTAAAGGCAAATACCTCCATACACAATGTCAGATTTTAAAACAATAACGGGTGTACCCCAGGGGAGTATAGCGAGAAATCGAAAGTCTCACGCTGATTTATCAGTCTGTCCCAAGGATTCTGGAAGGGTGACGGACAAAAAACTGACGACGCGAAGGACGAAAAAACCTTTAACACTCTTTATCTGTACTTTCAATGCCAGAACATTATTATCTGAACAAAAAGTCACCGAATTGGAAATCGAGATGTCAAAAATAAAACGGGATATCATTGGAGTCAGTGAAGTAAGGCGACATGGAGAAACCCTGACAACACTAAAATTGGGGCATAGGTAATGACAACACTAAAATCAGGACATAGCATGTCATTTTACAGTATAGATAGTGAAACTGAATAAATCAAGGGAGTCGGTTTCTTTATACACAAAAGACTTGCATATAACATAGGAAAATCCCTCCCCAATGATTGGAATATTGGAATACTTTAAAACATACACAAAAAATGAGATATGTTTGAATGCTCTAACCACAGACAGAAATATATATATATATATATATATATATATATATATATATATATTTACTCTATAGGTACCTGGGAGCCTTTCGTAACACTAAAAATAATACTATCCCAGAGATAAACCTCAGAATTTGCACGGCCAATACATGCTATTTTGGAATCAATCTCTACAACTATATCGAGAAATAAAAAATTAAAATTAGACGCCCAGTCCTAACATATCGTTCGGAGATCTAGACTCTTTTTCTTTTAATGCCTATTCGTTTCTAATATTGGCACCTGGACTCTAACAAAGAGTAATGAAAAGATATTGGGAAGTTTCAAAAAAAAGTAACAAGGCAAATCTATGGAGCAGTGAATTACAATAGAGTTTGGAGAAGACAATACAACTTTGAACTTTATAGAATATACCAGGAATCAGATATCGTAAAATATATCAACCTAGGATGTCTGAGGTGGATAGGGCATGTAATGTGGATGGAACAAAATGACCCAGCTAGAAAAACGCTCCTTAATAAACCCATGTGTCTTGATAACATCAATAAAGACATGAGAAATATAAGAATACGTGCTTGGCGTTGAAAGGCGATAGGGACAACTGGAGGAAGATAGGACTAGGACTAGGACTAGGACGCTAGGATTTTTTAATCCTAGCATCATAGACTTTAAATTGTACCCTCTGTCCAACGACTATATAGTCAATAATGGATTGTTGTTGCTGGTCTTTCTCAAAGGTGTCGATTAATTTCTGTGTGCTAATCATATACTTGTAAGTTGAAAACTGTATTGGTTGCATAATTCGATAAGTGTATTGCCAGTGTTGTTGTAAATATTTTCGTTAAACGTACCCATAATATTGCCATTTTCCTGTCTTTTAACTCTGGTGTTTAAGTCAACTGCTAATATTATATCCTGGGGTGATTTGGTTTCTGTAAGTAGTATTTATAGCCAAAAATTCATACTTAATAACACTATATGGCGAAACAGGCACATTAACACTGAGATGAAGTCAAGAATTTATAAAGACTCTGTAAGTCCAATAATGACATATACCTCAGAAACAAGAAGTACTGAGAAGAATTACAAGAAATACGCTGAGAGATCGAAAGAGAACAAAGACATCAGAAGAAAATGTAACTTAAATTGTATAAATAAATAACCACAAAATAGAAGAAAAGAATGGAATATCACATACGCAGAATGAAGGAGATCCGTGTCGTCAAAATCGTAAGAGACAAGACACCTGTCGACAAAAGAAGTATCAGACGTCCGCGCAAAAGATACAGTGGAACGCAACCTTCCATAGAGTTATGAATACCCAAATGAACAAGCAGGATTGTTTATAAAGAGGAAGAAGTAGCAGGAGAAGAAGAAGAAGAAAAATAAAAAGAAGAAGAAGAAAAAGAAGACGAAGAAGATTATTAGAATATGCATATTTTGATTGATTCCTCAATAATACACAATGTTTATGTTTCACCTATTTTTATATTTATAATAAATCGTACAAATTTTAGAACTGAATTAATTTATGACACATTTTTAGAGTAACCATGCAAAAACCAAAATGGACTGGAAGAATCAGTGCAGCTAAAATCGCCACTGCCTTAAAACCTAACACCACTGTAGACAGTTTTACCGTCGACTGGCACGTTGCAGATGTAAAAGTAAGCTTTTTTCCTAGAAACAAATATTTTATTCTATACAGGGTGTCCCAGACTAATTTACCCACGCTATATTTTTTAAACGAATAGAGATTTTCAAATGGGACAAAAAGTGATCTATTCTACTTGTAAAACACTATAATAAAGCGTAAAAAAAATGATCCCCTAAATATTCAACCCCTAACTTTAATTTTTTTAATTGCACCCTGTATATTTTTTTATAGTTTTCGATATGATCTTCTATCGTCTATTCAACAGATTTATTAAAAATAAAATCGGTTTGTAAATAATCAAGAAATCGATTAATTTTTTATTTTTGTTAATTAAGTGTCTCAGACTAATTTATCCAGGCTATATTTATTAACAAAATAGAGTTTTTTAAACATTTTTTAAAGGGTCGAAAACTGGTCTATTCCATTTTGTAATACACTTTAATATAGCGAAGAAAAAATCATCCTCTAAATATTCATCCCTTAGTTACAACCACTAACTTAATTTTTTTAATAGCACCCTGTACATTTTTTTCTAGTTTTGGATGTGGTCTTCTATCGTCTATTTAACCGATTTTTTTTTTTTAATAAAATGGGTTTGTAAGGTATCAAGAAAATATCAGTTTATTTTTTTTTTTGTTAAATTAATCAACGGAACATAACATCAACCACACTGGAAGATAACGTATGCTCCTACAAAGACCAAATTTTGAAAAATTAAAAATAATATTTAAACAAAAAGGGTGTGTAAGAAGTTATACTACTAATATTTCTTTTCTATTCTATTTTTTAAGGCTTGATTAAATCTTGATTAATTTAACAAAAATAAAAAATAAACTGATATTTTCTTGATACCTTTTTACTACCCATTTTATTTTTAAAAAATCGATTAAATAGACGATAGAAGAACACATATAAAACTGTAAAAAATGTGCAGGGTGCCATTAAAAAATTTAAGTTAGGGGTTGTAACTAAGGCATGAATATTTAGGGAATGATTTTTTCTTCGCTATGTTAAAGTGTATTACAAATGGAATAGATCAGTTTTTGAGCCTTTAAAAAATCCCTATTTTGTTAATAAATATAGCCTGGATAAATTTGTCTGGGACACTTAATTAACAAAAATAAAAAATTAATTGATTTCTTGATTATTTACAAACCGATTTTATTTTTAATAAATCTGTTGAATAGACGATAGAAGATCACATCCAAAACTATAAAAAAAATACAGGGTTCTATTAAAAAAATTAAAGTTAGGGGTTGTAACTGGGGATGAATATTTAGGGGATGATTTTTTCTTCGCTATGTTAAAGTGTATTACACATGGAATAGATCAGTTTTTGAGCCTTTAAAAAATCCCTATTTTGTTAATAAATCTAGCCTGGATAAATTTGTCTGGGACACTTAATTAACAAAAATAAAAAATTAATTGATTTCTTGAATTGATTTCTTGATTATTTACAAACCGATTTTATTTTTAATAAATCTGTTGAATAGACGATAGAAGATCACATCCAAAACTATAAAAAAATATACAGGGTTCTATTAAAAAAATTAAAGTTAGGGGCTGTAACTAAGGGATGAATATTTAGGGGATGATTTTTTCTTCGCTATGTTAAAGTGTATTACAAATGGAATAGATCAGTTTTTGAGCCTTTAAAAAATCCCTATTTTGTTAATAAATATAGCCTGGATAAATTTGTCTGGGACACTTAATTAACAAAAATAAAAAATTAATTGATTTCTTGATTATTTACAAACCGATTTTATTTTTAATAAATCTGTTGAATAGACAATAGAAGACCACATCCAAAACTATAAAAAAATATACAGGGTGCTATTAAAAAAATTCAAGTTAGGGGTTGTAACTAAGGGATGAATATTTAGGTGATGATTTTTTTCTACGCTATATTAAAGTGTATTACAAATAGAATAGACCACTTTTCGTCCCATTCGAAAATCTCTATTCGTTTAAGAGATATAGCCTGGGTAAATTAGTCTGGGACACCCTGTATATTTATGTCCTACTATATATCTTTTTACTACTACTATGTGCTGGCTGTATTTGCTAAACGAATTTTCTCACATCAATTAGAATGAATGGTTATACCAACGGATTCATCAATACCCAGTGACAGCCCCAGATTGCAAAAGGTGGGGGTTTTGTAAAATGCGTCCTCATGATAAAAAAAATTATATTTTTCGACATTTTCGTAAGCTGTCAACAATGCCACCCGCCGCCAATCTTTTAAAGTTACGATCTAAGCATACCAGTTCACAAATTGGGCAAATGAATATTTTTCCTTGAATCGTAAACTTCTTCATTTCATGTGTGCCTTCCATTTATGGCATCCATTCCGCCATTCAATTTTGATTGAAATTTATAATAAAGGATCCAAAACACTTAAAAAGCTTCAACTTAGGTTTTGGCACAATTTTGAATCTTCTAAGCAGTTCAGTTAGGTTACCATTTTGACGGTATCTTAATATTAAAACTGTTATTTTGTAGAAATTTCCATTGTTTTGTCATATCTAATAATAAGTATATTTTCTGCATAGATGCTGAGCTTGTCCTAAAATTAAAAGCTCAAGGAAACCTTTTAATGTTGTTCTGAAGCTAACGAATTTCCACTTCGAAAATCGTTCTACAAAAAAAAACCATTTTCGTCGTAGAAATCAAAATGTTAAAATAAACGTATTTTAAAATATAATGACGGTATTAGATTATTGTTTCGATACAAGGCAGCGGCAAGCCGCTTATACGTATTTAGACCTTTTTAGGTCTCCTCGGGGCGGTAAAACCACTACTCTGAATCGAGACAAAATCTATCCCGTCGTAGACAATAGTTATCGAAATTACTATTTACGCACGTAACTACGCCATCTAATAACAAAACGAGAAATTATACGATTTCTACCTGGCAAAATCGAATTCAAATTTTTACCACTGTGCTTTCTACAACTTGCAAAGCAAACAGCTTGATAAATTACTCAGCAAGTGAATCTATACTAAAACAATTTTTAATTGAAGGTGATTACTTGGCAACATTGCACTTAACGAAGCCCTTAACAATAACTTTTCAACGAAATCGTATTCAACTTATCAATTTTGCAGAGGCGTACTAAAAAAATTTTAATTGTTTATTTAAACACATAAGTAATTACGTAAAAATTAAACTTAAGACCGTTTTAATTATTAAATTATCATGTGTCTTTTAACAGGTATCTTATAGTTGTCTAACAAAATAAAGTGAAATTTTATTCTTATTAAAGAGTACCTAATACAGAACTTCAAAAAACAGAAAACTTTGGAAAATACTTATCTTTTTTTCATTAGATTAAAAACAATCTGCAATTTTAATTACAGATCATTACACATCATTCTCTATTTATAGAATTGCTGTGTGCTGTAAACGTTGTATTCGTTTTTTTTAACTTAATTTGAAAGTTTCCTTGTGTTTATTTTATTATATAAATATGAAAATATATTATGAAGTTCATATAAATTAAAATGAAGTAAGCTAAACTATTATCATGTGAATGCGTTTATATAGTAGTGCATTTGTTTATTGCAGTAAAATCTCGAAATATGAAATGAAGATGGCACTAACTACTAAAGACTTAATAGCTTTGTTAGAAGAAGACTCAGATTGTGAAAATGCTGAGTCACTTAATGTGGTTTATTTGCCTCCGAGATAAGATTAGAAAGTTTTTGATGTAGAAGACATTGATCTTCTTCTTTTTCTTCCTTCTAGTATGTAGGCTTTAAAGCCTGTTTCTTCTTCAATATTAGCAATCCTAAATTGTTTTAATTATCGCACTATCTTTTTCTTGGTCTGCCAATACTTCTTTCTTCCCTTTGGTGACTTATCTGGTGCTATTCGTACTATTCTGTCCTCTGCCATTCTACTGATGTGTTCGTTCCACTCCTGTTTTCGTTTTGTCACCCATCCATTTATGTCTTGTATATTGCATGCTCTTCCTATGTTTTCGCTTCTCTCCCTATCCAACAGACTTCTTTCTAATATTCGTCGGAATATTTTCATCTCTTTCATGACTTTATATTTTTGAGTAAATTTATGACTATTCCTGAAAACTGATTTCTATTTCGTGTCTTAATTCATGTACGTTATTGTGTTGATTAATATTTTCCTTTGCTTTAAACAGTTCCGTTAGGTATCTTTCCCATTCGTTTGCTGGTATGTTATTGAATTCCTTGTAGACATTGATGATAATATTATTTGTGAAGAATCAATAAAATCGGATATTGCAAGTACATATGAAATACAAGTGATTGCGAATTCTAACGATTCTGATTATGATTTTCCTCTGAACCACAGATAAAACGTCCAAAGAAAAAACCAAGCAAAAATAGTAAATCCAAATTTATCTCAAGTTGTAACAACAGATAGTCATTCGTGCTCAGTAGTAATTCAACATCAGTCTGATTGATATTTAGACAATATAAAAGCCAACCATGTAGGCAAGTCATATATTGAAGTTTTTTCACTCTTTTTGATAAAAAGCATTATGTAGTTATCTAGTTTACATTCTGCTTCAAGTTGATATGCATTGGTCAAAGGATGAGGATAAATAAGTGCATATTATAAGAGAAAGCATGAACCGACATAGATTTATATTTATAATTTATAATAGTGAAGAAACCGCTATATCAGTGTGACTTAGTACATGGACGTCAATCTAAATTTGCTTTACAGATGAAACCACATTCGAAAATATTGGCCACATTACAAAAAGAGACGATAGTGCAAAAATGTAGGAGGTGCAAAAGTAATACTATTTATTTATGTAAAAAGTGTAGAATGCATCTACACCCCGGATGTTTAAAAAATTTTCACCTTAAAATTTAATTTACATTTAAGATACAATATTTTCCTTTATTAAAAATTGTACTGTTTTCCTTGAAAATGAGAAAAAAATATTTTTGGGTTTAAATTAGTCCTAATTTATGTATTTTTAATCCAGTCTAATCAATTAATTGTAAATTTCTCTTTGTATATTGAGCAGCTATTATTGGTTTAATACTATATAAAGAATAAACTGGCCTCAAATGTACTTTACTTAGCTCAAAACTATTTTAAAGTTAATAATAAAGTCTATTTAATAAATATATTTCCAAGAACACACTACGCCTATGCACATATGTATATAATCTCTAAGAAATAAACTAAGATATTATATTTCCCCAATAACATTCTTTCTAAGAACGTAAATATATATAGGCCAGCAAAATATTCATAAGTTAACCGATCTTTCAAACTATTCAATGAACTTGTCTCACTATACACTCGTGAATCGCACCAATTTATATCGTTATGGGGGCAAATTTATCTTACTTTCTCGCTTATTTACATGGGCGAAGCATACACAATAAAAATGAACCCAGTAAGAATTTACTGATGAAATTTTACATGGTTGCTGCTACCACTTAGTTTAATTTGTAGATTAGTCACCGTTAATTGAAACTTGTCCGACTATAGAAATTGCATTCCACATGCCGTTCATCATGGTCAAAATTCGTAGTGAATTCAGTTTCTGGTACTCGAAACGCTGTAAAGAAATAAAACATAATGACGGTATTAGCTTATTGTTACGATACAGGGCTGCGGCAAGTCGCTTATACGTATTTCGACGTCTTTAGGTCTCCGCAGAGCAATATAGCCACTACTCTGAATCGAAACAAAATCTATCCCGTCGTAGACATGTAGAAATGTTTTATTTCTTTACTCCGTTTGGCGTACTAGAAACTAAATTCACTACGAATTTTGACCATGATGAACGGCATCTGGAATGCAAGTTTTAGTTTCCCTTGCCGAGTAATTTATCAAGCTTTTTGCTTTGCAAGTTTTAGAAAGCACAGTGGTAAAAATTTAAATTCGATTTCGTCAGGTAGAAATCGTATTGTTTCCCTTTTTGTTAAAATATTTCAATATGTAATCTAATCTAATCTAATCACATTTAAAATATTTAGATTCAATTTCATATTTATATTTAATACAATCTATAATTTTTGGCATTGCATAATTATTTTGTGGAGCACTTTTATTAAATAATATTTATCCAATAACCTGAATTTAAATTTTCTCAAATAACTACAGACCCTAATACATCTAATAAATTTCATTTGATTGTGCAAATAATGCTTGAAAGCACTCCTATTTTATATTCTTACCGCTAAAATCAACTAAACCTCTTTTACAAATGTCTCTTCATAATTTAGCACTACCAAAAAGTTTACAAAAAATGTCACAATTTTTTTTTTCTATTATAAGTATCCACATATCATTTATCTACGCACTTATCCAACTATTTTTCTGTTTTACAAATGTCTCTTCATAATTTAGCACTACCAAAAAGTTTACAAAAAATGTCACAATTTTTTTTTTCTATTATAAGTATCCACAATCCACATATCATTTATCTACGCACTTATCCAACTATTTTTCATATGGTGAGTCCTGTTTAATTTTTATCGCAGCTGGAATCTTCTTTTTCAGAACATATATTAAGATAATATTTATCATAAACAGCCTAGAATATGCAGGGGGGCTCTGTAAGGG